TTCTTAAAGGAACCGAATTTCCAGCTGAAACCAGATTCTTTCAATTTTACTTATTACGATTGGAATTTTGGATGTGTTTAACAAGTAAATTGCTTTCGACTTTACCTTTAGTTCTCTTGAACTTCGCATTTAGTGGAACTGAGAATATTTACATTCAAAAAGGAAACAAAAAGCTTCCGTCGAATAAACTCATAGGAGAAAAAATCCGATAAAAGCTGAATCCGATGTCTTTTATACTCCCTGCATCAATATATGGAAGCTAACAGATTTTCATTTCCGGAAAATTCAATTGGTTCAAGTACAATACGTTGTTAATCAGCAGCTTTAGCTTTCGTATGTGTTGTGTAACATTGTACCATTTCTATAATTTATATTCTATCAGTTAGCAAATGGGCGAACAGTGCTTCTTTAATTTAGCTAACAATACGGTCGCTATTGATTGGAATCTTCTTATGTAAGTAGATTAAAAATATTTATCAGAAAATGTTATTGATAGTGCATTTCTAGTAAGAACTTGCATTTATGTGGTTTTCACTTGGATAGAATGAGTTGTCGCGAGATTACTAGTGGTATGGTTTTGCTTCTTTGTAAACTATTATTATAGTATTTTCCTTGGATTAAAATTTAAATGCTCAACTGAAACACAACATCGCCCATGCTTTTGAGAAATCAACAAAAGGATTATGTACCATTACCACTGCGAACGACTACGAGTAAATAATTGGGGCTTCAGAGCAATCCTACTAGCTCAACTTCGTGAAGTGCAGAATATGCCGATATCATTGGCTCACGACAAATGCAAATATTTGGCATTCAAAAGCAGTATGCTCAAAACAACAATACTTCTACGGATGTCATTCTTCAATACTCATAATCATAGATCCTAAGGGAATCCAGAAAACTGATAAGCTAAATCATAAGCACTCATTAAACCGACAACATCGCGGAGCCTTTCTTTCAATTTAATAGTTTCATTAGGGTTAAATCTTATTCCATACCCGTTTAAATAAGAAGTGCACTGATCTTTTGTTAACAGATCGATATCTTCAACTGATCTAATTTGAGGTAATTTTTCAGTAGGTTCCTCTCCATTTAAAAAAGGTACAACGTCGATAGGAAACCCTAAGGATCTTCGCTGAACGTTTGCTATTCTGTCAATTCTTGCTTCCATTCGACCTATTCTGTTAAATAGTCCTGAAAATCCATTTTCATCATTCACCCACATCTGAAACCATCTTGGAGGTGTATCCTCAAGAGTACGCTCTCTTTGTCTGAATTGGGAAGCTACATTCAGAATCTGTTGCATTTGGAGACGAACATTAACCTCATTCTCAATACTCCTTCCCTTGGTAGCAATTTCAAAGTCTTTTAAAAACCTCATAACATCCTCAGATGTTTCAGTCGTGGGCGGAGGAATATTGAATTCATTTACAAAAACTCTTGCATCCATCTTAAATTAGTATCCACTTATTTGTCACTATGCTAGAAAAAGGTTGGTAAAACTTGTAAGCTTAGGATAAACAGAATTTTGTAGTCGGATGAAAATAAATAGTAGATGTCTGCGCTTCTATCTGTCAGAGCAATCCTTAATAAAATTACAAACCATTTGGTAATGATTATACTATGGAGTATATGACTTACTATTGTCACGTTAATAATTCTCACGGTCTATGAGAATAAAAATCAAGTGGAATTAATATCTACGATTGTAGAATTGTATACGTTAATTCGACTTAGTTGTACTACGTATCTAGATGGTAGTAATGTCCAGGGATCTGGTTAACTAAATTGAAAGTAGGAAAACGATCTTATTTAGCCAGACCAGTCGAATTTTCCAATCTGAAGAGTTCGACTGTGGATTCATACTTTATATATCTTCGCTGAAACAACTAAAGTAATCTATCTCTTTGTATAACAAACTTTCTCTGTATATAAGACTTCCGTTCCGAAAGGCTTTCCGATTTGTTGAAATCGTATTTTCTTTGTTTTGTTTACCTTTTGTAATATCTTATCCTTATCCTTTAGTCTTATTGCATTTGCTAATACTTAGAAATATGCTCTTATGATAGTGTATTGTTATATTTATAATATAAACAAGACAACTATCAACGTTAATAAACAAACAAACAAAACAGTTTGATAGGTTGAACGATCGTCACTGATTAGTTAAAGTTTATGGTTTGTTTACTTCCCAGTTTTAGGTTACTATATAAACGCCCGTTCTTCTCAGACGAATTCTTCAGTTAGGAAGATTTTGCTGGCAGAGGATAATAGACGTGTCTAAGTAACATAATCATTAGTATAACCAGGACGTTACTAAAGATATATCACTCCAGATATTTAGTAACTTATTTTAGAGTAATCAACTTGACATTTAAAGCAATTACAATTGTATTCCACTCACATTCTTATAACTATACGGAGTATTTTCCCATGACAGTATCCAAATAATTATCTTCCTAACCGAAGTGGAATCGTTAGATCCGAATACGCAAATCAATAAGCCAAAATGTCTCAGAACGCATTGAGTCCAAATATTCTCAGCGAATATTTTCAACAATACGAGGAGCATATCAATGAATTAACGACTAGAATGAGTCTAGTGACGCAAGGAATGATTGATATTAAGGAAGAGAAAAAGAAAGAACTAACGTCCCAAATGGAAATTGATGAAGACTACATATCCGTCGAATACACTGACATCATCAGAATGACCATCAGAGCTTATGGAGAAAACGCTCACGTATACATTTCACGATTAAATCAGAAAGAACCCGACTTATATGACTCTGAGAAAGAATCGACAAAAGTCTTTTTAAAGAAATTAGAAAATGTTTTCGAATTGTTACCATTAGTATTCGTTTCAGATCGAGAGAAAATAGGATATCTTTATAACAGATCTCCTGAAAATCTTAAGGAAAAGATAAAAGAATCCGTTAAGAAACCGGGACCACATAGAACATTCAAAAATATTTATAATCAAGTTTATTCGAAAGAACAATTTTCGACTTGGTTGACTCAATTACATACAGTCATGGATCAAGCATTGAAACTTGAAGTAAATACGCAAGAGTACAGACATTGGTTCGAAGAATTAGATAACGAAACAAGATTCAAAATGCATCTTTTCATGGTACATCCTTTTGCTATAAGAAAAGAACTTCTTAGAAACAATTATGAAACTGGTGATTATGACAAGTCAATAAATATCACGAAAGAAAAATTTCGTTACGGCAATTTCCGAAGATATGAGAAACATAATGGGCGAACATTTTCAAATACGAAACCTTTAAACAAAAGGTTTCCTAGTAAAGACGAATTTAAGAAAAGCGAGAACGATAAACCAAAATTCAAGAAATTGGAATGACTAGATGATTGTTGTCCAGCACTACAGACCAAAACAAATCACACAAGAATTTGATAAAGACCGAACATTTGTAGGAATAACTAAACACATTCTAAAAGTTACTGGGAAGTTAACATTACCAGTGGAAATCCGAGGAAGAAAATACCACGAAACATAAACTATATCGCCAAGGATTGAAGAAGACGCCATTATCGGTTGGTCATTAATTGAAAAGATGAACAAATTAGAAGGTTTAAGCAAAATTGAAATAAAAGAAAGCCACGATGAGAATTTTAAGAATAATGAGGAAATTAAAAAAATTATGAAACCTTTTTCAGAAATTTTTGAGGAACCTACTAGGACTCCAATACCTGAACACTCAGAGAGTGATTTGAAAATAGAATTAACAGAAGAATTACCAACGTATGCGCCAAAATTAAGACCTTATACACAGAAGGAAAGAGAATGCATAAAGGAAAAGACTGACGAATTATTAAAACAAGGCAGGATTCGTCGAAGCTCTTCAAAGTTTTTATGTGTGCCATTGATTGTTCCAAAAAAGGGAACAGATAGATATAGAATGTTAGTAAATTACAAGCCTTTAAATGCGATAACAAAAAGAGATAAATATCCGATACCTAACTTCGAAGAAATTATAAATTGGTTAAACGGAGCCAAAGTTTTCTCAACATTAGACTTGAAGGACGCATATCATTTACTTAGGATCAGGGAAGGAGATGAGTATAAAACTGCTTTTAGAACACCTTTCGGATCATTTGAATATACAGTTATGCCATTTGGAATAACAAATGCGCCAGCGAATTTTCAAAGATATATTAACAAAGTGTTACTTCCTTTTATTGGCATATTTGTTATCGTTTATTTAGACGATATTCTCGTATTTTCATCATCAGAAAAGGACCATGAAAAGCATTTGCAACAGGTTTTCGAAAGATTGCAGAAAGCTAACCTATACGCAAACCGAGAAAAAATGTCATTTTTTTCACAAACAAAGTAAAGTTTCTAGGCCACATATTCTCCGATAAAGGTATTGAAATTGATCCAGAGAGGATTCAAGCAGTCGCAAATTGGTCAATACCCAATACTCTTAGAAGATTACAACCATTTTTAGAATTCGTAAATTACAGCCGACGATTTATTTATCCAAATTAGCGAGACCTTTATATGATCTAACCAAGAAAAACACTAAAGTTAAATGGACTGATCGTCAACAACAAGCATTCTTACAAGTTAAGAAAGAGCTCGAAAATGTTTCTATGCTCAGACATTATGAGCCACATCGAGAAACTAGATTAGAAACGGATGCTTCTGATTTTGCTATAGGAGCCATACTCTCCCAAAAACAAGACGACGAAATTTATCATCCCATCGCGTTTCATTCAGAGACATTTACAGATCGGCAACGAATTTGGCCAACATGGGTAAAAGAAGCATATGCAATTATAGCAACTTTACGTAAATGGTATCATTTTTTGGCAGGTACTGACAAACCATTTCAAATTCTTACTGATCATAAGAATTTAACATCAATGTTCACTAAGGTTCACACAGACACTCACTCAAAAATCATGCGATGGGCAACTGAACTAGATTTATACAATTTTGAAATCGAATACCGCCCTGGTCGAAAAAATGAACCTGCAGACGCACTTTCTCGTCGTCCAGATCACAAAACTGAAATAGTTAATCGAGTCGTGGAAACAGACATTCTCACAAACATATTCGACTGCGTGAGACAGGAGTATTTCCATCACAAGAATTTAAAGAATATTCTTAATGGAATAAATCGTAACCCACAATACACTGTGAAAAATGGTCTCATCGTCAATGATCAAGGACAAATTGTCATTCCTAAACTACCACAACTTGTACAACTCATATGCAATCAGTTTCATGATCAGCCAGTCTCAGGAGGACATCGTGGAAAAATGTCCACAACAAATCGCATCCGCGAAAAGTTTTACTGGAAAGGTATGACCGCAGACATCCAAAAATATGTCAAAAATTGTGACATATGTCAACGACATATAACTCGAAATCATCAACGATATGGTCAATTACAACCGTTACCCATTGCAGAAAAGCCATTCAGACATTATTCTATGGATTTTATTAACAGGATTACCACCT